TAATCCTGAACTGACCTTTTGGCGATTAAAAGTAAACAGGTCAATGACTGTAATTGTAATATAATGGGCATTTCCAGCATATAATATTTATTATCATAAATATTTAAGGATATAAATAAACGGTATATATTACTAATATTATAAATATGAATGTTTGTGTATGGATGGAAATTTGTGAGAAGGTATCTATGGAAGGGCTGCATGGATCACGCTGAAATTTGACATAGATGTAGAACATACACTTATTAAGTTTAAGAACACATATACCCATTAAAGGTGGATTGATACTCATTATGTTGTACATAACTCTATATGAAAGTATAAACATAACTCTAGACTTTAGTGTGGTGAAATTGTTAAAATGATACTCAAAACCTAAAAAATGAAGAAATGAATAATAAATCATTCAATTTACTCTATAACCCTAGAATTCAATTGACATGACACACTGACATACAGTCTAACAAGCAAGAAACCTCTATAAACGATTCATTGTCCTGTCCCACGGACAACCCCAATAAGAGAGACACTATAAACTGCTGTCCCTTGGACAATGGCTGATCCAAGTTCAACTGTTTTGTTGTCCCTGGTCTTACTAAGAGTATGAGAGAGAAGACAATATTTTGAAACCCAGTTATATATGTATGCTAAAAGTTACACCCACACACTAACATCTACATTTGTAGTTTGTATTTACACATGCATGAGTAATTGTTAGCGTTAAGGTAATTTCTACGTAGACTAACAAGATTAGTTTTAATAATGTGTGGGCGTAGTTATTTCCATCCTTGACATTAAACAGTGCTACCATTAATTGTTAATTAAAATAGTTAAAAAGGCACAAAAATGTGGCCAAGAAAATGCTTTTAATATAAAAAGTATTGACTAGAAATCTTACTAATCTTATAATATATATACATATATGTAAATGTTAAAATGGACAGATGTTTGTATGAAGGTATCTCCAGAACCGCTTCACAGATCTTGATAAAATTTGGTATACATGTAGAACATAGGCGGGAAGAAAACATTATTATTAAGTTCTTTTTATTTCACACGAACGGAGTCGCGCAGCTAGTTCACAATAATGCTAACAAATATTTCAAGCTGAATAAATATATGACTAGAATATGTAATTTGAATGTACTTGAATATGCATTTATATCTTTCTAGAACTTTACATCACAGTAACTTGTTTATGATGATGATAATCATAATGCAATGTTGATATGCAAATGTTTACATTGATAAAAGAAAATGATAAAGTATCAAGCCTACAAGATATCAAGATATTCTTTAAGGGCCATAACTGACTAGGTGCAGTACTATTCATAGTACTAGTGTGTCATACACATTTATTGCATCCATTAGTATAAGAGAAAACTTTGATTAACATTGTCAGATTATTATGCTATTAGTTTATCAAAAAAAACACCAGACGTGGTCTGTTAATATGGATGTATTTTGTATGTAATCTTGTTTAGTAAGTTGGTGTGTTCACAAAGTGAGAGGTGACCATACCTTAGTCAACCACATTGCTTCAGTGTGGGTTATAAATATCTAGTGAATGTTTACATGGAGAGATGGATGGATGTTTGTTTAAAAGGTATCTCTAGAACGGCTTAATGGATCCCACTGAATTTTGGCATAGATTTAGAACATACACTGTAAGAACACATAGGCTTAATAAGTTTTTTTTTCTTCAATTCAGCGCAGACGGAGTTGCTGGCGACAGCTAGTATTGTAATGATTTTGATAAAATAAATTATTCTTATGACGGAAACAAACAGTAGAAATATTAACAAAGCTGTGTCAATAAACTTTCTTATCAATGTATAAAGTTTATCAGATACTTTTGTACTTGGCATTGCATATAACTTACAATTGCAACAAATAAGATAAATAAAAAAAATACTTTTTTCTAGCTGTGTTGTGAACACTATTTTAACATCAAAAAGAAGGAGGTTATCAATTCTACTGTATTTTTTATGTGTGTTACATAACTCTGTTCTTGGTGCGCCAATTTTTTTTTTTGGTATTTAAGTGACTAGCCAGTTGAGTGGCAATGGATGTACTAAAGAATACTTGGAGAACATTGAGGAAGATAAAATACAGGACAAAGCTGTAAACATGAACAATAAAAATTGTATGCATAATGGGTTTTGACTGCAGTGACATTTGTAATAATACATATTGATTTATAGTCTATGATTTGTCAAAGAGCATGTATGGGAAGAGTTCTTAGGGTACCATCACCTATCAGAGGTTGGCAACATGGATTCTGAAGTTAGAATGTGTGCTCTTTATAACACTGGCAGATTTTTCGGCCAAGATAACCTTCCTTGTAGATTATATGGCCAATGTACTCTAAATTTCTCTTTTATTGTTTTTAATATTTATATAGTTTTAATTCTTTTCAAGTAATGTATTTATACAAGTGTAAGTGCAGTGGTGTACCAGAGTAAATGTGACACAGTGACAACATATAGCAATAATTCAAAGTTAAACCTCCTGGGTACACTCCTGGATTCTGCCACATTGTCACCAAGTGCTGAAGAAGAAAAAACAAATTCTTAGAAATTATAATAAAGGGTATACATACACATTGTGTTGTAGTTTGCTTGATCAGTATTATTTAACTTTTCGGAAGCCGTTTTGAACAAATCTGACTGCACTTACGGAGAGACCAATTAGAGATCTGTAAAAAACAAATATAAGCTTAAATACTTTGAAGGAGTTAATAAATTTATGTAAAAGTAGAAGACTATTGTAAAATTATCCTTGATTTTTTTTATATAAAGAAATTTATAGAGAACAATAAAGGTGAATTATCAGAGAAAAAACTTACTTTTTGGTGATTAATATATTCCTATATTAAGTAATGAATTTAACACTTTGCCTTATTCTTTGTAAAAAGGGAAATCCTAAATGTGTAAACATGCAAAAGATTCAACTATAAGGCGATTGAAAATACGTGATCGAGACTTATTAATTTCATCAAATACATAATCTTAATTTCCTAGTTTTGATCGACGATGTGCATAAAGTGATGTCATTTTTGTTTCCTAAACAATGAATTCGTAAAATCTATTTATATCCTGCGAGTATATTTCTGAAGTAAGCTTATTTTTAGGTCGGGCGGATCTTTGGTAATCAGATTTTGTGTAAAATTTCTGTAAGTTAAAGTCAGGGCCTAGAATGTACTAGATGAAAATGTATGGCGCAACATATGATCGATCCGTTTTCATAGAAACTATTATATTAGGATAATTGTAATAAATATATTACCTTCTCTGTGCACAGAATAAGAGTTTATTGCTTTGCACAAACAATAAAACTTAAACTGTAGCCTCAATTGCACTGAAGTCACAAACACAAATACGATTTCGTTCGACTTTCGAGATGCACTTTCCACAAACTCACAAATAATTTTCTGAATTTTCAATGACAAGTTGGTGACCATAGACATGGACATAGAGTATACACCAATAATTTTCAATAAATACCTAAAACACCAAACCATTTTTGCATTTTGCAATAAAATTAAAAATTAATAAAAATTTGTGATTACTAAATATTTTATATGCGCTTTGTAAAAATACCAGGTTACGACGTGCTAATTGAAAAAAGATTTGAGATTGAAATTCTGTAAGTGTGAAATGTTAACAAGGTGTAGGAGTTTTACTCTTAACTCTGTTATGAAATATGAATTTCTAAACCCACATATGAAAATTATCTACACCGTGGTCTTCTTTTAAATGAATTAAATTGAAAAAAAAAAAATTTCTACCTTGCTCTCGTTGAAAATATGTAAAGCAATAATCAAATAATTTTATATACTCTTTGGCAATAATAGACAATTTTAACTCTATAATCTGCTCATTTGCTCTTTGGCATTTGGGGAAAAAATAATAAAAACGTAACCTCTCTTTTATAACATCTGGGATATTATTTTCCAAAATCCTTTATTTTTATATGGATATATCAATATTAGTTAATTAAACATGTATCTTACAAACTTAATGACAAAAAACCTTTTGATTGTTTGCAAACGTAAGTTTCATCTACTTGATACAATACGAAAATTTCCTCACTGATTCTAAAATTTGTAAAAGAAAGTATTTAATAATTAAAAAAAATTTGCAGAGTCCTCCAGGTCCATAAGTTGTACACAGACATTAAATATAAAGGAGTGGCGAGTTTCACGTGGACTGCCCGTCAATAGAAATGCTGAAGGTGTTTTAACAGACGGCCCTGATTATACCTTCTTAGATGGAAGACCTACTCCTTTACTGGTAATTGTATTGAATCTTTTAGTAGTGACAATATAAAGTCTTTTAGTAGTACTTTCAATGCCACGACAGTTCATATGCAAACATGTGAGTGGGTAGCACTGATTGTGTTAATTTTTATTCCTCTTTTTTCAGCACAAACAAAAGTTAAGAATGCTTAAACAACGTGATTTTGCCTCTCGGATTGTGGAGTTGAGCTCAGAACTAGACTTTGCAAAGACGAGACATGAGAAAATGATTGAAGCCGAAGAAGAAGAAAGGAAAACAATTTTAAGTAATAGATTAAAGCCTAAAGGAAAAGCCTTGTTAAATAAAAAATAAAACAATCAAGTAATTGTTAATAGTAAAGAAATATGTATTTAGTTATTTAATGATTTAGTTATATAATTTAATTATTTACCCAAAGTGTCAATTTGTATGTAAATTTAGTAAAAGAATCATAGAAAATAAATTTGGAAATTCAAAAATCTTTCTTTTAACCCCAATCAATCATTACAATATTATGAGCCTTTAATTTATTTATGTTTAATTATGCACACTATAAATACATAATGTTACTTGTATAGAAGTGTTCGTTTTAAATACTGGTTTTCGAGTTTGAATTAATAGTAAGTAATTGCAAACTTTGTTTCAAACTTTCTCTTGAAACCTGTGAATGAAGGGTTGCAAATTGAATTTGCAAGTTAGTAGAGTCTTGGTAAATGTCATTGTGAATAATCCCTATCAGAAAATAGAATAAAACTTAATGTTTGGGTTTTAATTATTGATGACTAGTTGTCACCCGCGACTCCGTCCGCGTGGGATTAAAAAAATTGTAGCCTATGTGTTTTTCCAGACTATGTTCTACATCTATGCCAAATTTCAGCAACATCCATGAAGTCGTTATGACGATATCTTCAAACAAATTTCCATCCAAACTTTCGCATTTAAAGTATTCGTAAGGTGGACAAATTAAACCCTATTTGAAAATGTTCAGCATAACATTTTCGATAAGTAATTGTCTTCAACACTAACTAGGTGGCGCTGTTCTTAATTTTAACTAGAATAAAAAAATGAAAACAATTACCATCCCATGTTATTATAATAGATGAAAAATTAGTTGTAGAACCTATTCTATGATGTTAGCAGCTGTTTGTCACTTATGTCTATTGGTGGCGCTACACTACGGCTGTTTTCAGTAAAATTTGTTCCCATTTGGAGACTTATTACAAACTCGAACAAAATTTTGTTTCTGCTTCACTTCAAATGTCTTTCTTTTTTCTCATTTGCATAAAAGAGTAATGTGAAGTTCCATTTTTGAATTTAAATTGTATATTTTTTTTAGATCATAAAAGAAGAATATAACCTCAAATTACCTCTATGATTATGGAAAGTATAAAAACAGACAAGCTGCACACAAAACTGGTCCTTAACACGTATCCACAAGGTTCACTTTACAGTTACTAAATACGACTGTACATTTCGATCTAAATTTTCATTTGTACTGAAACCTTCGCCAAGACGAGATTTTCCAAGACACTTAGTAAAATTTATTGCCTAATATAATATCTTCAGAACAGCAATAATTATTTCTAATGTCCTTCTTTAATATTACCTAAGTAATGTTTTATAGAACAGTTATAACCTATCAGAAAAATTAAATAGAAAACGCAAATTGACGAAGAAAAATATTTGTATTAACTAATTTACCGTGAGTTTTTGAGACCAAAAAATCTGTATAAAACATAAAATCTCTGTCATTATCTATGACAAGACAGAGACAATAGTATGTTCCAAATATGGATTTAGGTCTCAATAACCTAAGGTTAGTGGTCTATTATAACATGATCTCGTTAAATATAATCATTATTGCAAAAAATAATGATAATATTTAATGAGCATGTTGAATCATCATCAGAGCGTCAGTAGCCCAAGGGTCAAGCACTTGACTTGCAATCTGTAGGTCCTGGGTTCGATTCCCGCCATGTACCAATGTGTTTTTCGATTTCTGATTTACATATGTACATTTATCCGACGTTCTTACGGTGACGGTGATGCAACCTGTACATATCTGAGAAGAAATTCAAAGATATGTGTGAAGTTAACCAACCCGCATATGGCCAACGTGGTTGACTATGGCCTAGTCACCCGTTACTTAGGGTAGGCTCCGAGCTCCTCGGTGGTTACGTATAGTGAGCTGATGATGATCATTTTTAATCATTATTGCAAAAAATAATGATAATATTTAATGAACAAGTTGTGTTCTTTATAAAACTTTATTAACGTTGTTGTATTTCATGGCCACACACAACGACCGTGTTTACGACAAGGGATAAAAGTGTCTGTCCACTATGTTATGTAGATACACATATATTTTTAATAACATCTAAGATTATATTGCTAATATTCTAGTAAGATTAATTTGGTTTTCAATAACGATAGGCATTATACTAGATATATAGTCTTTTACATGTAGTTAATCAACTTATACTCTTATTTTGTAACAAGCACTCTTAGACTTCGCCAGCGCAGAATTTGAAAAAAATAGCCTATAACATGCCCGTTTGCATCTGCTACCTTCCAGTCAAAGTCCCGTTAAAATCGGAACAGCCGTTCCCGAGATTACCCTGAACAAATACGGCCTTGCGGACAGATATAAAGATAGAACGATATTTGGAACGATTCCTGCCGCCGAGTTCCGTAATCGGACGACACGACAGACCGCCAGGTTCCATCCACACCACCTGGATGGCTGGCGTTCCACAACGGTGCGATTCTCGCGCAATTTCTTGCCTCGCACAGTCGCGTTGTGGAACGGTCTGTCCTCGGCGGTATTTCCAAACCAATACGACTTAGGGACCTTCAAGAAGCGAGCATACCATTTCCTTAAAGGCCGGCAACGCATCTACAGTTCCTCTGGTGTTGCAGATGTCCATGGGTGTCGATGATCACCTTGGTGTTCCCGCCGCTCGTTTGCCCCCTTCTCTTATAAAAAAAAAATAGAAAGACAAAAATTAAAAAAATGACTTTTTTCGACATATACACTCTAATTTTACTAATAAGTATAGATAATTGCTTATTTATTTAATAACTAGCTGTCATACGACAGCGCGGAATTAAAAAAAAAAACATAACCTATGTGTTCTTCTAGACTACTTTCTACGTCTATGGTAAATTATAGCGTGGTTTATGCAGCCGCCTAAAGATATTTTCTAACAAACGTATCCATGTAATCTTTCTCAATTATAATATTACTAAGATGTATTTATCTTATATATATATATATATATAAAAGAAAGTCGTGTTAGTTACACTATTTATAACTCAAGAACGACTTTACCGATATGCCTGAAAATTGGTGAGGAGGTAGCTTAGAGCCAGGAGACGGACATAGGATACTATTTATTTATTTTTTTTGAATTTATGCCTTGAAGAGCTGCTTTTTATTTAACTTACTAATATTATAAATGCGAATGTTTAGATGGATGTGATGTGAATGGATGGATGGATGGGCTACACTAATTAAGTGTTTTTATATATCCACGCGCACGGAGTCGCTAGCGACAGCTAGTGTTTTTATAAAAATAATTGAAACAAAATGTTATTTTTTAACATTAACCTATAAACATTTTATCTTTTGTCGGTTTGACTTATTTACTTAATGAGGCGAGCTACCATATTGCCTTTATTGTCGGCGAAGAAAAGCAATTTAGGTTCTTTTATTACGGTATAAATGATTAACTGCAGACCACATTGCTTAAAGGTTATGTTGGATGGAAAATAGGTTTGCTATTATTTTAGATATTCTGAACGATAGTATAATTGTTCAGGACATAATTATGGCACTATGAAACAATATTAATTAATTTACTGTACGTTTGAGAAACAATTAGATTCAAGATTTTACGTTGCTATTGGTAAAAAGAATACGAAAGGTTTTTTTTTTATATCAGAAGGTGGCAAACGAGCGAGCGGCCACCTGAAATCGCTGAAATAGCGAAGTGACCGTTGCCCATAGACATACGCAATTGCATATGCGTTGCCTACCTTTAATCGACGGAGGAGAGGATGCACAGAAAAAAAATATTTTCCCATCCCATGCATCCTCTCATCCGGAAAGTCCACTTCCACTTCCCATCCTTTCCTTATAAGAAAGAGGGTGGGAAGGGAAAGAGGACTATCACACACTCATCAGACGAAACGCGGAATTACTTCCACTTGACGCCTGTCTTCTGTGTGGTCGTGGTATTTCACCGGGCGAGCCGGGCCGATTCGTGCGAAGATGTTAAAGCGGGCTCTACCACTGTTAAATCATAATCATCAGGTATCACGAAGAAAACAACTAAAATTATCAAAACCTAAAAAAGGCAAGTCAACGTTCAAAAAGTTTAACGTCAGTTCAATAAATTTGTATAAAATACAATATTATTCCTTCATTTTAGTATGAAGATACAGATTTCTAATATCGCTTCACGGAAACATAAAATACGCCGGAATATTTATAAGGTTTGGGAAATTTCTTTTGGGCCATTGTTCCAGGATTACATAGGATTATGAGTCGAAACGGGCGAATCTCCAGACAGAGCATTGTAACACGACATTTTGAAAGCGAACACCAAACTTAAAAGTGCCATAATATATTTTTATACTTGGTGTTGGATTTTTAGGTATGCTCCGATTATTAAATTTGACTTCACTTTAGTTGTTTTTTGTATTAACAGGTGGCAAACGATCAAACAGACACTTGGATTCGCCGAACTAGCGAAATAACCGCTGCACATAGACATTCTCAATTACAGATGCGTTGCCTACATTTAACCGACGGAGGGAGAGGAAACAGAAAGACAATATTTTCCTTTCTTACACATCCCATCCTCTGTCAAATCCACTGCCCTTTCCGTTCTATACTGATAAGAAAAGGATGGGATGCGAAAGAGGACTAAAATATGGTCTTCAGCACGGACACTTATCAAAAGAATCGTGGAATTGCGGCAAATTCACGCCTATCTTCCAAAAGTATTAATTAAACACAAATTCGCACTTTATTTTAGAAAACTCAAGAATCTTAATAGATTAAAGATTATGGCGGACAAAAAATATTTTCGTCGCCTCTCGAAATAATGTAAGAGGTCAAGATAAAACAATTGGGGAAGAAAGGGCCGAGAAAATCTTGTGGGCGTTACTCAGCACAAGTAAATTTAATAAAAACGCGTTTATTAAGGTCAGCGGTGGAAATGAGGGAAAATCTGAAGGGTCACAGTTTCGATTTCCTAAAGGACTCTAACGAAATATCGTTTCAAGTTTAGGTGTTTGTTAACAAAGAAGATTTTCTATGAAATTATCTATTTCTTTCGAAAATAATATGTATCTTTTGTCCATTTAAGTCGGCGCTTCTGTGGTTTATCTCGAATGTATAAGTAAAGAGAAATTTTGGACAAATTTAATAAATAAATAAAACTTCTTTATTGCCATCACACAAATACATCAA